CCCAGTAATCGCGTACGGCGATAGTGGCTTCTCGTCTTCGGGCTGCGCGGTCACGAACCGCGTTGCTTGTGCCGCCTGCATCATCTGGTACTTAATGGCCAGGTCCCAATCCGCGTCGTCTTCGAACACCAGAGCTGACTGGATGTTGTCCCGGAGCATCTCTTGCATGACGTTCAGGTGTGCTCGCCAACAGCCCGTGGCGCCGGCATCCTGTGCAAAGCTCTAAATGAAGCCGCCAAATGTTAGCTGTGTTCCGACGAACCAGGCATCCCTTTCAGCCTTTCTGACTGCAGGTCAATATATAGGTAAGTTCAGGTGTCTTACGTGTGGAAGAGCCTTGACCGACACATCCGCTCCTGAGACCCCGTCTCGGACCTCAAACGAGATGTTGGACAGCCGTGCCTGCAGACTGAAGGCGTCTCGCTTATCACTCCTCTCCGGCATGGAGATGACAAAGACCTTTGCAAAGCCCAACGTCGAGTTCATGGCGTCTTCCATGATATTGTAGTTGTTGTCGTTGTTTGCTGCTGCTGCCTCCTCCTCCTGCTCCTGTTGCAGCTGAAGCTGCCGCCGCAGTTCATCCGCTTCGACCGCCTCCTCGTCAAGGAAGACATCGGCAACCCGCACATCCTCGATAGCATCGTCCGGCTGCACGTCATCAAACCGGCTGGACCTGTGACTACTCCCGGTCCCCAGACCGAGTCCTCCCCTGTGGTTGTTGGTGTTGATATTGACGACATCGTCGTGGCGGTGATCGAAGAGCCCCAGGTCCGCGACCGATGGCGCGTCAAAGTCCGGAAACGAGGGCTTGAAGCGACCGACGAACAAGAACACAATCGTCAAGGTGATGGCAAACCCGGCAACTTCGAATCGTGGGAACATGACTCTTAGCTTGAGAGACAAGAGGGAGGGAGTGAAAGGAATGAGCGGAGGGTCGAAGGGGAAGGGGTTCGAAGAAAACAGGGAGATATCGGTGCATTTTTACAGTTACCGCAAGGCCTCGTTCCCGGGACAGCGTTCCATCGCGCCCTTTTTCGCCTCTGGAGCGTGGGATATCAAGGGAGCATGTAAGTGAGCGAGCGTGCGAAGCGAGGGCGAGGGCGAGGGCGTGAGGGAGAGGGAGGGACACGTAGAGGGACGAGCCATCCCTTCGTACGCGTTCCTACTCTGTCACGTACGCGCTGCGCTGTGGAATGTGTCAAAAAGTCGAACAGCCCTTTTGAAGAAAATGAAGAGCCCGTACCTCGTGCACGAGCCATGACTTGACATGGAGTCATGGAGTCGTAAAGATGGCATACATAACATGCCTATGCCTGGGCGAGACCCCATTTCCAATTCATCATGTGCAGTCGAGAACCGCCGACACCCCTTTTAGCCCGCCAGCCTCGTGTGAGTATCAAGTCTTCCTTCCTCCCTCCCTTCCTCGCAAGGGACATTGAGAGTCAACACGCCCTCCAATTCGAGGCCGTCTTCGTCTTCTTCTTCTTCATTCGCAGGGAAACTGGCATCTGGGACAACCCTTTTGTCTCGCCATTTGTCTCGGCCTGATCCCCCGTCTGTCTGAGACAATCATCCACCCCGGCCCGCACAGAAATTTGACGGACAAAACCACCCCCTTGCGTCAACGGCGCCATCAACATCGACATCAACATTGCGATTGAGGCATGTATGTATGTACCGAGTAGTCTGGTACCACTCAGAGGAGAAATAGGTGGTGTAGCATTCTCAATTCCAGGGTCTGCGCTGCCTACCTTGTCTGGGATGGATGCTATTCCCGGTTCTTGTTTGGTCGTAGAATCGGATGGTTGTAGTAGGATGAATGGATATGGATACAGAGATGGACGGAGTCAAGGGTGAAACCCCCTCCTGGAATCTATGACCTGGGTATTCTGGGTCTTTTTTTTCTGTGTGGTCGTGATTCTGTCTAACCTTGCATAGGTAGTTACATATATACACATATAGATGGCCTGGCCAGCACTCACTCACTCACGCACGCACGCACGCACTTCATAAATCCTCCCTCTTTCCAACGCCGAAAACAAAAAAAGCACAAGGTACGGCCGAAAAGTCTACAAAAAATCTATGCCATCCAGTCACAAACCCTCCAATTAGATATTGGACCACCGCGTTTTCCCATTACTGCATTATTTGGCCCCACGGCAAATAAAAACCACTCAGGCTTACAGGTCAGGACCACCGCCGTCCTCGAAGATCATGTGGTGCTGCTCCTTGTCCGTGTCGTCGGACGACCCCGCAGAATTCGCTTCGCCCTCGGCGGCGGCAGCTTTCTTGGACTCGTCCAGCTCGTCCTCGGTCGGGTGCGAAAAGTCCGTCTCGCACTTGACGTTCTTGGGCGGCGTGGCCTGCCACCGGATCTTGCTGTTTCGGAGGGCCCGGACGTCGACGTCCTGCTCGACCCGCTGCACAATCTCCGTGGCGAAGCCGTACCTCTTCTTGGTCTGCCGCGACTCGTCGTCGTTGTACCCGACGTTGACACTCGGCACCACCGCGATCCGTCCGTACCCGTACTTCCAGAAATCCTTGCACAGGAGCAGAGGTTCGCCCATGTGGCATTCGTCGGGACGGGAGGCGCGGAATGTGATATTCTCCCGCAGCAGGGGCTTGGCTGTGAAGACTGCGCCGCCGTTCCAACATGAATAGACCTGGGAGGAGCCATGATTGTCAGTAAAATGTAGCCATACACACAAACTCTGTCATGACGTGGCGAGGAGTGGATCTCAAATTACTCACCTGGAAAGGCAATCTCGCCTCAAATCGTGTCTTCGTTCTAGGATCGTGGCGGAACATTGTATTGTTGGGGTCCGCACTGCCATCTCGGGGCGTGTTGACAAACATGTCACCTGTCATACCACGGGACGCTCCTACATCGTTAAAGGTCTCTCCCTGGTTGGCCCAGTCCATGCCACAGACCATGTCAGCATTTTGATAGACCTGCAGAACCGTTAGCATCTTCGACCGAACTCCCGTCCATCCACCCAAAGACTCGCCTTTTGATAGATGAGTTCTAGAATGTCATCCGTGCAGATGGCCACATCGTTCAAGAATACAACCGTTGTGTCAGGATCGTAAAGCTCCGGCTGCCGCACCAGTGGGTCAAGTGCTAGATTTCTCAGAGCGGCCCATTCAGTGATATAGTCGCTGCCCTCTTTGTACGGGTCAATGTCGCTTGTGCTGAAATAATACGATACGTTCAGCGTCCCCATTTCCTCCCGGATTCTTTCCAAAATCTCCAACGTGCCATCGTTGGAAGGGCGAGCAACAATGGACAAGGCACAGTCCTGTGGCCGGAGTATGCGGATCGTCTCCACAACCGACGCCAGCAAGCGCGGTAAGAGGGGAGCGCATTGCTGGAGATCGAGTGCGAAGAACCATCTTCTGGGTGGCGTATCCCATCTCGTCGCGAGACTGCGGCGGCGGCGCAAGATCTTATAGCGTTCTTTGATCGGCAGCGGACACCGTAGGCGTGGAAACCGACCGTCACCGGGATCCGTAATGGCTTTCATATACGGCTCAATGACCTTCAGTCTGTCGTCGTTCAGCCCCGAAACTCCAGGCGGGTCCCATGGTTCCGAGTAGAAGTTGAAGAGTCCGTGTGTTGGACTGGTATCGTGGCTTTCAACGACATCGCCCAGTTCGACACCAGAAGAAGAAGCGTGAATGCTGCCGTTGTGTCTGGCGGCTCGATAAACCAAGTCTCCCACCACGCCTGTTTTTGGCTGGGAGGAAGTAAAGGGGCCGCCGAAGCTGGAAATAAGTATAATGCAGAGTAACAAAATAGCCAGGTATGTCTTGTCTATCCCTCGCAGAAACATGGCGAACGGAAGGGCCATTACTGACTCTTTGAGGCGGAATTGCGGTGACGGGCAGGAGGGCGGGCAGCCCAGAAGGCGGTATACAATTTGAGCCTAAGGTGTCTCCTTTGAAAGCCTGTCACGCTGTCTCTGTGCGAGATCAGGTCGGCAAGATGGATCCTTCAAAGCGAGCTGCAGGCGAGGCTACCGCCACCGACTTTTGTTCGTGGGTTGCCGTGTCACGGCGTTGGCAGACGATCTGGAGTGCACATCGGGATTTGCCATACCAGCAGTCTCCAAGTTGCAGGCCGTTGCAGGCCGTTTCTAGGGTATTGCAAAAGTTGCTGCAGGAGCCCCTTTTTGCTAGTCAAGCCCTTTGTCTTGAATAGTACTAGTCGTCCCACAATCGCCGTTCTGGTTGATATTGGAGCAGCCGGCGCTAATGAAGCGAGCAGGGGTTGCAAGTTTGTTATGCTGAACCCGATTGAATCCAGACTCGTACCTTGCGTCCCAGTCTGGGCACAAAGCCACCACCCTATATACAGCGTAGTAGTATCTCTTGGTATCAAGCATCCTCGAACCTAATGCTGACTGGGTGCGGGCGCAGGCATGAGTCTTGCTTGACGCAGCCAGCCCAGGATCCGGAGGACGCGCCAAGGTTATCAACAAGGTCGTGACTTCAAATCTCCGAACAACAAGCGTTAGGGAACAGACATGCAGGGCGTCTTGATAAAGGGAAAGCGGCGAACCCAATGGCGTCGGTCATCCACATCGTCGCCCCTCGCTCGAAGAGGGGTTGGGGATATGCCGTCATCAGGTGCCCTGAACCGATGAATTTGATGTCCATACGCCCCATCGAGTCACGATTATTGACACCTCGTGTTGATGTGTTGAACAAATGGCCAAGCAGTGGCAACGAGTGTTGAGCGACATAGAGACTAGCAGCACGCGCCCTGGAGAGGAAGACACACACCTGCGGACCTAAGCACGTGCCCAGTCTGCCAGTTCATTGGTGCCATTTATGGTTAATATGCTCTGACGTAGTAGAAAATCCGGCGGATCACGAACAATGAAGTGCAAACTGTAAATTTTTCGGAAATCCTCTCTGCTTCGAATTGTTCACCGGTAGTTTCCTCTCAACCCCAGTTTGAAGAGATATACTCATCCACCCAGACGGTGAGGTCAAAAATGGGTCTAGCTGAGCCGAGAAAGTATGTCATGTTCACCTTCCATAAAATCGTCAATTGACCTCGTTCTGCGACAACGAGATAACAAACCGCCTTGATTCAGTTCTAACTTGTATGAACAGGAGGCAGAAACTGTCCCATGATCCCCGGAACCTAGCATGGTCGTCCCAGTCCTCTGAGACCTCCTATGGCCACCGCCTTATGACCCAGCAGGGGTGGTCGCAAGGGCAGGCACTCGGCAAACGCACCACCACCTCCCGATTTGGTGTTCCTAGCGACGCAGAACGCCTCGCCTCTGCACATGTGGGAGTGCTCTTTAAAGATGACAATCTAGGTCTGGGTGCAAGGAGGAAAGGCGGGAAGGAAGCCGTTGAGAACCAGAAGGTTGGGCTGGATGCATTCCAGGGCCTCTTAGGTCGATTGAATGGCAAGAGTGAGGAGGTACTGAAACAAGAGGAGAAGAAGGTGGAAGACAGAAAGTTAGCAATGTATACCCGAGGGAGATGGGGTGGCATGATCTTTGTTAGGGGTGGAGTTTTGGTCGGAACTCTTGACAAGAAGGAGCAATTGGAAAACACAGAGTCTGCCACTTTGGTCGAGAACGATCAACCCCCGCCTCAATTATCATCGCAAGACCAAGAAGAAGCTAAAAGAAAAGAGCGTGAAGAGCGACGGAAACTAAAGGAAGAAAAAAGACAGCGGAAGGAGGCGAGGCGGATACGGCGAGAAGAGAAGGCTCGGAGAAGAGCTGCAAAGAAAGCCGGGGACGATGCTCCAGGGCTCACGGTCCATAAGTCTCCTTTGACTCAGCCTCCAGATGAACCTGTGTCGTCTGCCGTATCAGACAACGAATCCGAGGCAGGCCAAAGTTCAGGCAAGCGCGATGAGCGACGAAAGCACAAATCTTCAAGGGATGTTGCGGACGCCCCAGAGAAGTCGCCCGTGTCGACTTTGAAGGTCGTACCCAACAAACCGAGCATCACTGTTATGCAAACTGGCCGACATCTGCTTAGAGGGCGGAACATCCAGGCCAAGAAGATGGTATTGGCCGATGTGAAGGGCCTGGACGAGATTTTTATGAGATGATTTTGTCAACTGCTGTGAGCGTTTGAGCAATGGTATCGATATCCTGCAGTAGATCTAGAGACAATCTATGCTAGATAATATCGACCGAGATGGCGTATGACTTTGACAACCACGTCCAGGAGAGAATCGTCCTGCAATTCAACCAACCAGCACAATCTGCTGAGACCACGACCAACCAGACCAAACCTGAACGACATGTGGCCTGCGTCTTCGACTTTCCTCAAGGCCAACCTTAACCTCTTCCCTGCGGCATCTCCTGGTGGTGGCGGTGACGAGTATGTCCGCTACCCTGGATCGGGAGCATCCAATTACCCGGAGCAGACGATCGCAACGCAACTAATATCCATAGACGAACATCCCCGAGGAGATATGAAGGGCCGATCAGGACGATCAGGTCATCGACCAGCCCGGTGACGTGATGACAACGCGGGTCGTTGTGCAATCTATCACGTCGTGCTCTGGACTTGGTGTAGAGAAATCCACCCGTGTTTTCCATGCATGCAATGGCATTTTGCTTTCTGCGACGCCCCCTTAGCAATTCACCAGGGTTGCCGTTGCCACTATTATTGATGGCAAAATTCAGTCACCGCGTATCTGGCCACATGTCAAACATTGGCATTTTTTTCTCCATGCAAAAAATGCTCAAAACAGTTTTGCACTTCGTGTCGGAGATCCATTGAGGAATCATGCGAGGCTAATTGAGCCCCTCGAGGGATGCTTAAATTTGGTCAAATCCACTCCGTTGAACGCGGAAGTGGATGGGTTCAGTCAGGGGTCCAGTCTTTGTCCTGTTGAAGAACAGAGTGGAGGATTCCCTGGTGGGCGAACCCTGTTCGATTTCTCTTTGCGGGTTACGCACCATCCTGTTTGTGAATTTCCCATGTGCTTCATGATGGTCGCTGCTAAGGGAGAAAGCCAGCGAAGAGAGTTTGGGCATACGAGACTGTTGAAGGAAAGAAGCTTGGAGCAAACAACGGTCGACACTGACAAGAACGTCCTACCACATAACTACTTTGGCAGTTTCGAGGCGTTCAATAATGTATGCAGTCACAGATCTCGGCGCTTTGGAACCAGCTGAGGTGGATGGGTGGCCAAAAAATCTACGCGCTGCCAATCGGCAACCACCTGAAACACCGGCGGGCATGCGACTAAAGGGAAGAGCCGCACATGCTTCTACCGGTACTGGGTATTCCTGCTTATTGGGTGAGAAGGCCCATGATTTACGGAATAAGCGTCTGGAAAACTATTGCGCTTCAACAAGTACGGAGTATTGTATCTGTAATGGTACTCGTATGTACGGTACCAACGGTGGCCGGTTTCATAATGTGGATCTCTGGCGGCGATTCGTACCAGTACATCCGAGTGGATGAGGACCATCAGGCCAGGTTTGTACTTGTACGTACAAGCTCAACTCTTATCTTTTTGTTCCCACCAGTACTTCGCTAAACCCTGCAGCGGTGTTTACCCCTAGCCTCAAAATTCCAGCCCAGCCAGCCACGGCGAGGGTAAGTTACTCGTGTTGCCAAACGGCCCTGGGGCCTGAGGCGAGATTCTGCGGTGTCGGTCAGGAGGAGCCCGATGGTGCCGAAGAGAGCCCAGACCTGGAGTGTTTGTCTCATCCTCAACCCATGCCCTGCTACTCGTTACTTGCCCTCCCAAGAAACAGTCCAGGGACGTTGATTGGCGACCAGGAACTGCACTCCTGAGAAATCCATCTGCAGCCCTATTGACTAACGTACGCCTCTGGCTTGCTTAGGTTTTTCTCACGGGACAAGAGCCGTCTGCTTTGGGAGAACAATCACAATCATCCCAGGGATAAGGGACAGAGTTGTGCCTGACTACGACATTACGCCATGATCAACCTCTGTGTTGCCTCCAGAGCACCCAGCGATAAGGTCACTCACTTAGAGCATGGATGAGACGACGATCAGTCAGTCAATCAAACAGATTTTCTTCTGCACCAAGGTGTCTGATGCAGCCAAGTTCCAGACCATGCTGTACCTGCAGAAGCGTCCCCTGACGAAAGACCCACATTATTGGATCCGACATCCGAAAGGGGTTAGATCGGTTCCGTTTTACTCCGAGTACATTGTCACCCCAGCTGCGAAAAAGAAGAGAACGCACGCCGCATCAACCCACCTTGGGACCTGTCCAGAAATGGAGTACGAGTAGATATCTGAGCAAGATTACAGATTACGGCTGGCATGGGTCTGAGTTTGGAGAGGTCCATTGCCTTTCTAGATGGAGACAAGGTGAGCAAAACGGCTCCAAGAGGACGATTTTGGATCACGTCTTGGCCCCTTAACGCGCTTGCCTTAGTCCAAAAGATCTTTTGTTTTGTGGTGAAAAGCAAAAACACGTCTTGGGTTGCTGGAACGTCTTCAGGCCCCTCCTCCTCGTCTCTCATGTTGTTACCATTGGGTAAAGTTCCGAGCTGCTTTCGGAAACCGTGGCGCCTTACCCACTTTTTGGACTTCGCTAGACTAACGGGAGTCTTTTTGCCTTTCCCTTCCCCCTGATATTCGATCAGATCCAAATGGGGGGGACCGCTGGGCCCTGGCGCTTCGGAACTCATTCACACCAGCACCACAGGTCCCACCTAGCCGTCCCAAGTCCAGTCCCTTGTCGAACTCCTTTGGTGGTGGTTGCCGTGTGTCTAGGAGAAAAGTGAATAATGGAGAGGGGAGGAGGTGGATGGTGTTTACGAGTAGTACCACACACCACACCTCCAGGGCCAAAAAAGAGCCCCCACGTTCAAACATCCTTTCTACTCATACTCGATACTCACACTTATACTCGTACATATACATGGCTCAAGCTTCAAGTCATCCAGTGACCGATCGTCGTCGTCTTGTCTGCGCCGCGCACACATAAGTGTGAGTGACGTTGCCCCCCAACGTCCGTCTGGCTGGCCACCAAACCCCCCAACCATGTTTGCGATGCTGACGGGCACGGTACGCAAAAGGCCGTCGTCCAGCATCCTTTTGATTCTTTTGTTGCCGTTGCTCACGCTCGTCTATTTCCGCTATGTCGTCGTCGAACAACACAAGACCGAGCGCCTCGTCACCGACCTGCACACCTACGTGGCCGAGTACCCCCTCGATGTCGCGCTGCCAGACTTCGCCTCGGTGGCCAACCAAGTGGCGGCTCTATCGCAGCTCGCGGGGCTCTACATGCGGGAACAGACGCTCGATCGCAGCCGTCTGAAGGATTCCCTGGTCCACCTCTTCCCCTGGTGGAACGAGGACAAATTGGCCTATGTGCCGTGGAAACACTCGTCCAGCAAACAGTCGAAACCCTGGTCCAAGGACAAGAAGAAGCCGGAGCTGAAGACGGGGATCGTCGTCTGCGTCGGCGACGGCAACGTCGAAGACGCCCTCTTCCTGATCACCAACCTGAAAAAGGTGCTCAAGAACGAACTGCCCATCGAGATCGCCTACGCCGGCGACTCCGACCTGTCGCCGCACACGCGGACATTCCTCCGCGCGACCAGCAAGGACATACAGTTCCTCGACCTCACCAAGATCTTTGACAACTCCCTCATCGGGCTCAAAGGGTGGGCGACCAAACCGTTCGCCCTCATCGCCAGTAAATTCCCACGGACGATCCTCGTCGACGCCGACGCCGTCTTCTTCTCGAACCCGGAGCGGGCGTGGACCGACTACGAGGGCCTGCAGGAGACGGGGACGCTCTTCTTCCACGACCGCGCCGTGACGATGGACCACAGCGAAAACCGGCGGCGGTTCGTGGCGGAGCAGCTCGTGCGCGCGGGGCGGCAGCCGTCGCAGCGGCTCAACAGCAGCTCGCTCTTCTACAAGGGGTACATCGGCGAGGAGGCTGACTCGGCCGTCGTCTACTTTGACAAGTCGCGGCCGGAGCTGTACGTGACGGCGCTGTTCGCGGCGTGGATGAACGTGCAGGACGTCCGCGACGCCATCACCTGGGACACCTTCTGGGGGGACAAGGAGTCGTACTGGCTGGCGGCGGAGCTGACGGGGGTGCCCTACGCCTTTGAGCCGTGGTACGCGGCCCGCTTCTCCGAGGCCCTGAGCACGTCCGAGGCCGTCGTGTTCAAGACGCCGCGCATCTGCTCGCCGCACATGGTGCACTCGGACGCCGACGACGACGAGCCCTTTTGGACAAACATGGGCATCTGGCAGAACAAGGAGGACAAGTCGCTCGGCTTCGCCAACTGGACCCACTGGTACCTGGGCGACCCGATCGACCAGACCATCCGCACCACCGCCGCCGCGAACCTGACCCAGGTGCCTCTCGAGCTGGACCTCGATCTCGATCTCGAGGGTGACGGCGACGGCGACGGCGACCCGGACCGCGTCTCCAACGCCACCCTCGCCCAACCCGCCAACGAGACCCAAGTCCTCGCCACCCAAGCCTCCTGGAACTGGCGCGACTGGACCGAAGACGCCCGCGGCTGTCCCCAGCACGACGAATCGCGCTGGCGGCCCCTGAGCCGCGAGTTCCTCGAGCGCCTGCAGTCCATCATCACCGAGGCCGAGCACATCCGCTACGCCTGGACGAGAAAGAAGATAGAGATGAATAATTGACCCCCTTGCCTTTTTTCACTTTTCTCTTTTCTTTTGAGCTTGACATCGATCCCCCTTTCTCTTGAGCCTGCTTTCAAAATCTCATGAATTTTTTGAGCGTCTTAGGTTTGGGTTCGGGTTTTTTGGAGTTTGGGTTTGGGACTTTTGTGACATCGGGGGATCTTGGTCTTTGGGGTTTTGGGACAATCATGTTAAAACCCCGTTCGAAGAGGGTTGTTTTGGGTGTTGAAGGTATCGGGGAGTTTCTTGGGAAATGATCTCCAGATATAGAGAGAGAGTTAAAGAGTAAGAGATTTACTCGGGTATATAGAGACGAGGCAGACGGGATATCTGGGTGGGATTTCTCATGTCGTTCGTCGGAGATGACGAAAATATATATAGTCTTTTATGTTCCCTCTCCCCCTTTCCTCTTCTTTTCTCTTCTTCGTCGTCCTC